AATTTAAAATCATGTTTAAAGAAAATATCTGTAGCAATTGCGTATCCTGGAATAGTTATGATTTTATGGATATGAGGTTTGATCCAGTTGTTGATCATGATTGCTGTACCAGCTTTAGAGCTACTAGTGCAAGACCAATAATAGGTAAAGTGGTTTGTCTAGTTCTTCGGTCTCTGGTTCTGATTTTTCGTAATATCATCAAAGATTTTTACTATTTCTAGCTTGGGTCTTGCCAAATGGGTTTCAAATATTCTAGTTTCTTGGATTTGGATCACTCTAAAGTTTCCATTTCAAGATGGTGATATCAAGTTTACAGGTAATATACCTAACCAATCATCAAATAAATATTACTGTAATACAGGCTTATTTTTCGAAAAATGTTTCTGGTGGGAATTGAACTCTAGACCTGCTGCTTGGAAGGTAACAATTTAACTACTACTCTATATCACCACACCCCAAAATTTAATTATTTTGTATAAATACATTATAATATACTCTATAAGATTAGATATAACATAAAATTAAGACAATAGTTTTTTATATGATTAGGATTAGTATTAAATAAGATTAAAATAGTTATAAAAAATAAGCTTATAGTAAATATTGCAAAAAATTTTTTTGTTAAGATTTAAAAAGAGTTACATATATAAAATTTTAGGTTATAGAAAATTTTTGTCAAAACAAATACTTGTTTTGAATTTTTTAATTATATAATATTATATATATTTTTTGCTAATAAGTAGTGTTTGTAGTCGATTTTGCATTAGTTGATTTTATCGGCTTAGCTGGCTTAGTTAGCCGATTTTTCAAAAAATTGACTTAGTCGATGTTATGTTAGACGACATTGAAAATTACAGTAACTAATCAAATTTAGGCTGATTTGATAGTTTATATTATCTTTCCCAAAAATTTCAAAAAGAAATTCAACGAACATAAAATATGAGGAAACTATTCGATAATTTTTAAAAGTTTAAGATAAAGATGATTGACTTCGACTTAGCTGGCAAAGCCGAGTTTTAAATATCGACTTAATCAAGTCGATAAATAATGATCGACTACAAACTGGTATGTACGTATATATGTACATACCAGATTCAATAAGATTGACCAATCATATCTATTTTAAATTACGTGCTTTAATTAACCAATTAGGATGATCGACTACAACTTAGCCAGCTAAGCCGATTTTTAAATATTGACTTAATCTAGTTAATAAATTTGGATCGACTACAAATACTACTAATAAGTATTTGTTTCTTATTTAATTTCAAATAATTGTTTTTGCCACTTGATCTTTTGTTTAGTAAGCTAAAGTAAGTTTTAAAAAGATAATAAAAACTTTAATTTTGGTTAGTTTTATTATTAAAGATATCAGAAGCAAAATTAAGATTTTAAAACTATTTAATAGCAATTTCATTTAAATAAATAAGAGCAAAAGTAAATTATTAAGCAATATTCTAATTATTTATTATAGTAACTTATTTATATAATTTTTTTAACTATTTTACTAGGTTTTAGCTTCTATTATCTATAAAAAATTAATTTTTTAGAAAAGTTTTTTCTTCATCTAGTACTAAAGTATTAGTTAAAGCAGTTATTACAGTAATAGCAGCATTTAAAACAATATTAATCATATTTATAAGAGATATAACAAGTAGAGATACTACAGGTAGTTGAGAAGATAATAAGTTATTTTTAGATTGTTCTAATAGTAGTTGATTATTTTCTGGTTGCTTTAGTAGATCTGATAGTTTAAAAGTTTTAGTTAAAGTAATATTTCTTAAACTATACTATCTGATTCTTCTTATTTTTTAACTAGTTTTTTTTAATATATAGCTTCTTGTTATAAGAAATATTTTTTAATATATACTTCTAAAATAGAGATAAAATCTGCTTTTACAAATTATCTTTAAAATACTTTAAATATATCTTGAAATAAGTGTTGAGAAAGTTGATAATTAAAATTATTGGCCTTGCTCTAGTAAGAAGATAAACTAAAAGATAATATAATTTAGTAAATAATTTATTAATACTAGTAACTAAAACTATAATTAATATCTAGTTATAGAGATATAGAATTATTTAGATTTTTAAAATATCTATTAAATTAGTCTAGTTCTTTGTATCAAAACTATAGATTAGATTAATATATATAATAGTCAAAAATAGTTTGATACTTAAAATTAATAGTAGTAAGAATATTAATAGTTATATATTGATTGATTAATATAAGAGCTATTTTTTTGAAAATTTTTTTGCTTAGTTATATCTACAACTAAAAATAATAGCTTGAATAGAGATATAAATAGAGATCAATTTTAGATTATAAAAGATAAGTGAAGTTGAAAATAGTTTAAGAAGTATAGCTATAAACAAAGTAAAAACTAGAATTTTAATTTCAAAAATTTTTAAAAGAATTTGATAAAAAATATAATTACTAGTTTTAGATAAAAGATAAAAAGCTTGGCAATAAAATATAAATTTAAAGCTTATAAAGTAGTATAGAAAAGAGCAGAGTTTTATATATTCATACTTGTAATTTATAATATATTTGTAATATAATTTAGTAACTCTATTAATTATAAAGTAAAATTTAAAGCCAGTTTGTAGCTAAGATAAAAAAGATAACAAAAATATATTTCTTGAAGTTAAATTTTTACATCTACACTTTGGCTTGTAAAGAATTCTTTAGTTGTTTTAAGATATATAATATTATTTAGATACTAGCTAAAATTTAATACTAAAAGTAGAAGTTGTTATCTGCAATACTTAATTTAATCTAAGATAATTATTCTTTAATAAATAACTATTAAATAAAAAAGTTTAAAATAATATTGTTTAAATAATAGTTTTTAAAATATTTTTGTCAAAAGATATTAAATATTATAGTACTATAGTCTTTTAATAACAGTACTATAACAATAACATAGCTACAGAAATCTTTTATAAATTTATAGCAATATTTAAGAAGTTGATTTAATTTTTACTTTAGAGGCGTACTATTTATCACATGATTTTTACTATAGATACATGATTTAGGAGGATGATCACATACATATATATATATAATATAGTATATAATTAAAGGAGTTTGCTATTTATCACTATTGGTGATAATCACCAATATTACATGATACATATAAATTAATAGAATATTAATCAATCAAATTTGCATCATGTGATCTACATAGAAATAAGCATAACGATCTTTCAATAAATATAATGATCTTTCAAAAAGTATAACAATCTTTCAATAAGCATAATGATCTTTCAATAAGCATAATGATCTTTCAAAAAACATAATGATCTTTTAATAAGCATAACGATCTTTCAATAAGTATAACAATTTTTTAATAAGCATAACGATCTTTTAACATAATACTATTATTCTTGAACTTCTTTTTTTTACTTATTTTCTACCAGTCAAATGAAAGTTCAAATTGTCTCCTATCCGGCATTCTTTTACTTGTTGAAAATATCAATTTAGCTATATAAAGAATATGATTATATAAGTGGAATTGATTTTTTAAGTTCAACAAAATCTATTTTGATCACAGACTATAGCAGCAATTCAGAGTAGTGCATTGTTTGAACAGAAAGTTCGAGAATAAGTACCTTAATTAATACCTTAGTGAAATACAAAAGCTTTGTTATTCTTATTAGGTACTACAGGCATGTATATGTTTTTTTTTACTTCGTTTTAATTCAAATTTCTCTTTATCAATTTCTCTAACATATATTCACTTTTATTTTTGTTCATGCTTTAGCCAAATTTCAAATGTTATTCAGATAATATAATTTAAACCATCTTGCTAACAAAGCAAAAAGCACAGTCTAAATCTGTCTCCTCACATATTTGTATAGTCAGATTTTATCCTAAACTTATCTATAATCTACTAATCCAAATATACAAGGTTAGGCTCACCCTAACTCTAACTATGAAAAGGAATTACATTTAAAAAGTAAAATTTATCTATAACCCACTACCTCTAACACACAATATTAGCACTCACCCTAACTATAACTATGAAAAGAAATTACTTTTAAAGAGTAGGTTTTATAAGATTCACTAATTATATATTCAAGGCTTTGATATCTGTTTTATAACAAGATCCAACATTAACTAATCTATTAATATATCCAAATGGGCAGTTTTCTGATATATTCAAAAGTTTTACAATTATTCTTGACTTTTTTCTGAAAATATTTGAAGGTCTTGCGTTTATTCTCTTTACTGCGGTTTATTTACAAAACAATTGTTGCAAATTAATAAAAGTAATTTTATACTGTATATGATGATCAACAATTTTTTTTTAAATGCTCTATAAAAAATTTTTGAAAAATGTATCCTGGCTTTCTCTAGACCATCATTCCATTATCGATCTGGAAAATGCTCATTTTTCGGAAAACATATATAAATTCTTGGTCATTTCTATAGAATTATAATAAATTCTGGGTAATGAAACGATAATCTGAAAAAAGCCAAAATATGTTTTTTGAAAATTTTTTATAGAAATCATTTTGGATGTTACTGTATAGTATTTGTTAAAAAAAAATTTTAACAATATAAAACCATTTTATAGTTAGCTATAAAGAATCTTGTTTTTATATATTATTATTTATAATAAGCATATACAAGCATGAATTTTAAATAAACAAATAAACATTTCATTCGTTTATTAGCAAAAAATTGCAATCATAATTTTATCATATCATTAATTTTCTTAATTAACCATGTTAGCTTTATATTGAGTACAACCACGAATATTATGTCCTTTTTTTGAACAGTAACTGCATGTTCTCTGTTTATGAGTTTGTTTAGTAGCTTCTTTAGTTGATGCTTTAAGTTTTTTTGGAGGATGACTTCTAGACTTATGATATTCTGAATTAGAAACTTCAGCAAGATTACAGTTTAAATTCAGATCAGTTAAAAGTTGTCAGTTATGAGATCTAATAGAAGCATTATTTTCAGCTTGATCATTTTTATTTTGTATATTATGAGTTTCTATATTCAAACCAGTAGTGTGATGGTATTTTGATATAAATTGTATA